AAAAGAAGAGTAACTTCTTCTTGTTAGTCTCAATGAGGATCGCCACCCACTATCTATGATCACTCAATAACAAAAACAGCAAGGGGCCAATAAAGTCTTGACAAGAAACTGGTAGCTAGTCCTTGCCCTGAACACTACTTTATCCCGACTACAACTGGATTCCACTTTGTACGTTACTTTCAGAGTTTTGCAAAGTAACATTGTACACTATGTAACATTGTAAACATAATATGTAAACTTCAATGCAAAATGTTGCAAACATTAGATACAAATGTGCTAAGAATTACCAAGATCGCAAATGCATATAAAATGTGAATAATTACCTGACAGTAAGGATTTTGATAAATAAGCAGTTCCAAAAATAACCGCGATTGACATCAGAGAATAGATCGCAAGACAACTTCCCTATAAAAGCACTATGAGCCGACTGAGCAAATGATGACGATCTTTCACGACAAGCCAGTTTTTGCTACATCTAAAATGCCACTCTAAAAGCCTTCACGATAGAGTTTACCAGTACAATGAAGCAACAGTCGTGAAAAACTAACTTTTAATAAAGAAAAAAACAAGAACAAGGCCGGCCGGCTGCTCGATGAAATTTACTCCTGGCGGTAGTGCCGTTTGAACGAGCCATTCGATTTCGCGCCCTTGTCTGCGCTCTCTCAGTGAGATAGTAACCTAGTCCTTCATTTCAACTTTGTGCACGAAGTAAGCGGTTTACTCACTCCGATGCTGCTCTCCTCCTTAGGTTGGAGCCAAAAAAACTCCTTTCCCTAGCTCAGAATCGTTACTAAGAATCACCACAGGGTCGTATAATCGACGCCTTACCCTTCTCTGGCTTTAGGAACTTGCGTTTCTTTTGACGGCATTTGTGCCCTCTGGTTACTTCTATTTATTTACCTTTTTGCATACTTATAATTGACATAAAGCTCTGACGTGGAAAGTTGCAAAACGGAAAATTGCAAACTTCCAGCTCCAACTTATGGTGGGGAATTATCCCACAACTAGTGCCCTCCACCGGTTTAGTACCCAAATTCCGGTACTGTTCAGGAAAAGACTGTCAAATGGGGGAATTTGGGGTAGATTTGTGTTATCGGTAGGAAAATCTAGTTAACTCCCCACTGCCGAAGTACGGCAAAGCCATAAGGAACAGATTTAATCAAAACGTATACAGTAGTCATTACTGCGACATAAAACTCGGAAACGTCGGAGTGCGCGCCAATGTCAATACGTGGCCCATGGCCATGTTAGTGCACAAAAAGTCAATAACCAGTTCTTTTTTTTTGTTGCTCATATGAAAATTAAACCGTCCAAGCAGTAAAGAGAAATCCACAAGTACAGATCGAGTTAACCAATCAACTCCATCTGAAAAAGAGTAGTAAAGACATCTACATCAACTCTTTATTACAGTAACGTACAAGTAGAGTACTTAGTGACAAACAAATATCGATTTCAATCATAACACCTCGTTCCGAATAGTAACGTATTTAGAGAAGCAGTAATGGTTCATAGTTACCGCTACACAATCTACTCACCTAAGCTCGAGAGCGAAGATCATTAGTGAGGCAAAACAACACCTATAAGGCTTTCAATGGCTCGTAGCTGTACACTGTTAACGAGTAATGAGAGGTTGTTCTCGAGCAATGAGAAGTAACGAAATTCGATGTAGTTATTACAAATAGTAAGTAGTTACTAGTGATTCCTGTAGGCACTTCATAAATATTGGCAGTGAGAGATGGAAGCCGTCGAGCTAGCTTTCTTCGACTGACTACTAAGTATGTGTGTTTAGGTAAACAGTACTGTTCAATCGATTGGACAGAACGTCGAAACGGTTAAAACGGCCTAGGCTTTTATCAAAGGAGTGGTACTAGCTACGAGACGATCCATCAGACAAGTGAGACCCTTCTAACCAGAAGATGTTGCAGAACTGTTTTGTTGACGGCTATGTTCTGATCACCCAACATTTCTCCTACTCGCTTCACCTGAAGAACATAATTTTGTAATATCGATCTATGAAAACTCTAAAATTACCTGGAATACAAGAAAAACTCGATCGAATATCAGGCTATTCACGTAAAGGAGGGGAAAAGGGGAGGGGGAGGGACGAGCCACCAGTGTTACCCCTATGAAATACGTGATGTGCGGATCAAATCTAGTCCCACCAGATCTCTCACGTTTTCGGATAAATGCTACCAGCTGGACTCC